AAAGTTAAAATTCTTTAATTTCGATTTTCTCAATAACTACTCAGGCAATCGTTTTCAAACTTTCAATGTTTATTCCTTGCAATGTGTCAAAGTGATTTCTACTTTCAAAATAATTGTAATGAGTCGCTCACGGTTGCCATAGAAACGAAACAGAAAAAAAGATTCAGATGTACACATGTGTTCTCCAAGGTCTAGGTCAAAGGGTCAAAGTTCGTCGTATCCAATAAAAGTTCTTTTCACAAGGATTACATATTTGAAATTCGAAAGCCCTAGTACTTACCGTTCAAACGTTATGGCTATTTACTTTGTTCAAGACGATTTATTATCATTTCGCGTTTTCTTGTATATCTATCACTTGTATATTATTCATTTCATTAGATAGTGCAAGTATAAATTAAAAAATTGGTACGTCATTTCCATAGTTTTTATTCATTCATAAATTCTTTGATCCGCTCCTGATGGTTCGATGCTCGAATTGATGGTGGCATGTCAGATTCGTTTTTCGGTAGAACCTCTAAAATGAAAGTGAAAGGGGGAAATTTCAGAGTTGTCACTGGCGTTACAATACACAAAATAATTCGGCTGATCTTCTTAAAAAATTACATTTGCCAAGCTTTATTGGTAGGAAAGATACTGCCAATTAACAAGTTTGAGGCTCAGTTCAGTACATCTTCCAGATTTCTTTTATGCAAGTCGGCAAATTGAGGAACTTGTAATTTTCCTGCACTACTTTCTTCTCCTACCGATTCTAAAAATAATGAGTGGGATGTACCGAATTAAGGTCTTCCGTTTCCAATGGAAAGGACTGATATAACTCAATGGTTGTTCAAACTTAGCTTATGGACTTTTGTTTTAGTGATGATAAAAATGAAAGTCTTGTCTAATACGGGGCGACATATGCTATTGCTTGCAATAGCAGACTTTCTAGTTATTCTTTTTTTTCTTACCGATTTTGTGCAGACGATTTCTCGAGAACGCCTCGACAGTTTTTCATGAAACTTTCAGCAATGATAGGAAACTAATTGAACTTCATGCGTTTTTTTTTATTTTGCCGTCGTCACTTCCGGTCGCGAGATATGGCAATTTTTCTCTTTTTAAAGTGTCATTTTGTCCGAGTGTGTTCTCGAAAACGGTTGTAGATTGGGTCCTGAAACTTTCAGGGATGATAGATTATGACTCCTAGATTTGAGAAGGATATATGGTTTTTGTTGCCGTTGCGTCCGTCGTCCACCGGATGTAGTTTAAAAATATGCAAAATTTCATTTTTTTTCTTTTTTAAATGTTTCTTATGAAGGCAAATAGAGTGTCTCATGTAATATTATGTCCACTGGAAGTTATTTTTTTCCAAACCGGAAGTAGTCCTAAAATTAGCATTTTTCCTCGAAAATATCAGGGATGATTCCTTCACACTCAGAAAGGAGTTATAGGTCATTTTAAGTACTTCCGGTCACACCGGAAGTGAATTATAAAGACCGGAAGTTGTTTGAAATTGATAGATTTCACTCTTAAATGTGTTCTCACATATTTTGAATAATTGATCTGAACACTTTCTTTCATTTAAAGTTGTTTTATAACCTTATCAAAAATCGAACGGAAGACCTACTCGTTGCTCGCAACGAGATCTCATCTAGTTATTATGTCGCCCCGAACGAAGTCGGGGACGACATATTGATATTGTACGCATGTTTTTTTTATCCAGGCTGTTTCTCGGAGATGGCTGGGACAATCTTCCTGAAACTTTCCTCAAAGGACGATCACTGGTTGTAGTTGTGCAGTGAGGTCGTTCAGTTCCAATATGTCTACCGTTGCCATGGAAACCTGTAAAAAGCGACAAATTTTGTCCGCGAGTGTTCTCTCTGGTCCCTTAAACGTTCGTCATGAAACTTGTCTTATTTTAATGATTAGTATCTGTAGTTTTGCAACTCGCATTTAAAATTTTCAAATAATCGATTATTGCCATGGAAACCAGGTGAAAGTTAAAATTCTTTAATTTCGATTTTCTCAATAACTACGCAGGCAATCGTTTTGAAACTTTCAGTGTTTATTCCTTGCAATGTGTCAAAGTGATTTCTACTTTTAAAAAAATTGTAATGAGTCGCTCACAGTTGCCATAGAAACGAAACAGAAAAAAAGATTCAGATGTACACATGTGTTCTCCAAGGTCTAGGTCAAAGGGTCAAAGTTCGTCGTATCCAATAAAAGTTCTTCTCACAAGGATTACATATTTGAAATATAAAAGCCCTAGCACTTACCGTTCAAACGTTATGGCTATGTACTATGTTCAAGACGACCCCCCCCCTTTTTGAAGCACACAGCCAGGTAGAATACACAGATATAACATATACAACTTACAAGTAGCGTTTTAAAATCTTCATTCATAAAACTCAGTTTCCGTCATGTGATATTTTGTCATCATTCATTCTCCTTCTGTTTTGTCTCTTGAATTTATAAATATTTTATTTTATCTATATAAAAAAAAATAACGATTGTCAGCTGCATTTATTATCATTTCGCGTTTTCTTGTATATTTATTAATTGTATATTATTCATTTCATTAGATAGTGTAAGTATAAATTAAAAAATGGGTACGTCATTTCCATAGTTTTTATTCATTTATAAATCCTTTGATCCGCTCCTGCAGGTTCGCAAAGCCTTGATCACCACTGTATACAAAACATTCATCTCGCCGAAAATGTTCATGATTCCGCTAAACTGAGAAAGTTTACACATGATTTATCATTTCATAACAAACATCAGCTCTCTGCAATGCAGAAATGCTCGAATTGATGGTGGCATGTCAGATTCGTTTTTCGGCAGAACCTCTAAAATGAAAGTGAAAGAGGGAAATTTCAGAGTTCTCACTGGCGTTACAATGCACAAAATAATTCTGCTGATCTTCTTCATAAATTACATTTCGCAAGCTTTTATGAAAGGAAAGATACTGCCAATTAACCCTTACTCTGCTGTATTGTTTTCATAAGTAAGCACTGTCTCTGCTGAATTGTTTTTAAGAAATGATGAAATATGCACATACAATCTTTAAACTTAAATAAAATGTTAATTTTTTAAGTTACAATGATATAATTTTCAAAGCACATAGATATGATTTAGTTTTTTATAAATATGTTATCATATATATTAATTAGTGATAGGATGTTGCCATGGCAACCACTGTTTAAAGGACAGTATCCTGAAAAGCATTATTTTTTCTTTGTTTTTCAATAATTATGTAATTTGAGCTTAAAATAATATACCAAGTTATGAAGATGAGCATATTGCTAACCTGAGAAATTTTTATGGAAATTTCAGGGTCAAGGTCATTTCAAAAATGGAAGAAATGCATTAAACTTCAAGGTCATATCTATTTATTATGTCGCCATGAACGAAGTCGGGTGACATATTGCGATTGTACACATGTGTTTATTCTACAGGCTGTTTCTTGAAAATGGCTGGGACAATCTTCCTGAAAATTTCCTTGTGTGGTCATTCAGTTTCAAAATGGCTACCGTTGCCATGGAAACCTGCAAAAAGCGACGAATTTCTTCCGCGAGTGTTCTCTCTTGTCCCTTGAACATTCTTCTTGAAATTTAATTTATGCAATGATTAGTATCTGTAATTGTGCTCATTGGATTTAAAAATTGCAAATTGTCAATAGTTTCCATGGGAAGAGGGGAAAAGTGAAAATTCTTAACTTTGTTTTTTAAATCAAAGTAATGAAAGGACTGATACGAGTTGATGGTTGTCCAAGCTTAGCTAATGGGTATTGTTTTAGTGAAGAAAAAATGAGTCTTGTCCAGTTCGAGGCGACATACGCTATTGCTTGCAATAGCAGACTTTCTAGTTATCTTAATTATTTATCCCCAAATACTACATAACAGAAAAAAACAAACAAACAAAACTTCGGCTGTCCTAAAAGGTCTGATACCCAGTTTTTGGATAAAAACAATGTTAAAAAAATGCGACCTTGACCTTGGTTTAACTAACCATGGGTCAGGGTCATGAGACATCTGCAGGTTAGCAACCTTTGTGCCAAGTCAGTGCCTCCAAAGTTCACAGACTAACCATACTATGTTGTTGTTAATGATCTTGGTTAAATGACCTTAAATCAAGGTCATAATAATACACCCTAGGGTAAGTATGTGCCTCCGTAGTTTTATGAAGTGGACACGAAAGTGTGACGGACAGACACAATCAGTGTTAGTTTGTGGGAGGTGACACTAAACCCAATGCAGTCCTCTGCAGAATTTTTAGAAATGATACATATTACACTGTCAGTTCTAAAGAGAAGAAAATTTATTTTTAAAATTAAAAAAATACGAACTTCATAACATCAGCTTTTGACATTTTTGCATACATTCAAATGAATCTAAACTTGACAAAAGAATGGAACATTCATTGGATAAAAATCAACAGGTGGTTTTCAGTTGCGAAAACTAGATAACATTGGCAAATATTGCCATTAAAAAAAGAATAATAAACATTTTACCCTGTGACTGTAAAATCTTTTTCACCCTTTAATGGTGGAAAATTGAAAACAGATATATTTGTAAGCTGTGGTACAATTATTATCTAATGCTTAGCTAAGCATGTTCATTCCAAATCAATTTTCAATATGAATTTGTGTCTCATAATCTTAATGCTTTTTAAAAAGCTTATTACATGTATGCAATATACCAGCATTTCAGAATCATCAATGCTCGATTAATTGTCAGATAATATATTGTTCTTTTCAAAGTGGTATGAGCTGTAATTTTTGTACAGGATGACAATTATTTCATTATGCTTTATGAAAGCTTTTGATAATTTGACAATTTTTTTTCATAAAGATATTGAATAACAAGAAGTTGAAAAACTATATTTTTCTGTCATTGCATGGTTAATAATTCACTGTCATTGCATGGTTAATAAATCATAATTTTGCAACAAATAAGAAATCGAACACAAAAATTCTGCTCATATTAGTTTCACATTACAATTTATCATTCAAATCGTCAATCAAATCAATCTTCAGAACGTAATTTCATTCGTTTGTATGCTAAAATGTACTCCTGCTTTGTATGATATATTTCAAAACATGGTGTTAAGCAAAGTGCAACATTACATTCCTTGCATTTGTAGCTGGTCATGTGACCACACCTGCTGGGCCGTTTCTCACCAGGCCGCATTGGTGGGAGCATTTCCTTTTCAGCAGGTCCACACACAATGCACTGTCTGTGGAGCATCTTCCCTCCCTCCTCTAGTCTAGCAAGGAAGTGCCTTCCTGTTAATCGCTCGAGGATCCTGGGAGCAGGCCGTCCAACATGTACCCCATTGGTTGCTCCAGATGTCTGGATAAGTTGTTCCACCAGCTTTCTTCTAAAGTTGCGCTGAAGCATTGGAGTTACAGCTTTGCAGGATTCTTTGTACAAGATGTATGAATTGACAATCGCAACATTCATAATATGAAAGAAAAGTTTCTTCCACCACTTCAAAGTTTTGATCGGCAATTTGTAATTTTCAATCATTTGATTGTGTCGATCTACTGCACCCATCTTTTTGTCATAGGTTTGCACCATAGAGGGCCTTACTTTAATTTGATTTTGAATGAAGTCATGGTGACCTGTTTCAACATTGGTCGAAGACTCAGTAGTGCTAATAAGGTACACTGTCTTAGAATCTTGATATTTAAGGCAACTTAAGGGACCATAATGAGCAGTTGCTGTGTCTCCTCGGTTTGTAAGCTGTATCTTTTTCATTTTCTCTGGAATGCCTTTCCTGTAAGGACGCACTGTACCTGTAGCTCCTGTTCCCAAGACCCATAGATCCATAAACAATTGAGGGGAGCTGTAATAGTTGTCGCAATAAAGGATGTGACCTTTCTCAAAATGATTGCGAAGGAGATCCATGACAAGGTCATATGTGGCACCATTTTTCGAAGGTTGGATATTGGACCTTCCAGTGTATAGTTTGAACTTCAAACAAAATGCATTATCGGCATCACATAACATGTATGCTTTCAGACCATACTTCACAGGTTTATCGGGACTGTACACCCTGAAGGATAAATTCCCTCGCCATGCTACCATGCTTTCATCGATAGCCAGTGCTTGATGAGGCTTATACACTGAACGAAACCTGGAAAGTACTTTATTGTAGAAGGAACCAAGTTTGAATAGTGGGTTGAAGCCTTCGGATCCACGTGGGATATAATTCGCATTATCATTTAAGTGAAGGAATGCTAGTATGAGCAGAAACCTGTCTCGTGACATGACGCTGGGAAAGAATGGAGTACTTGTTACTGGATTTACTGTCCAGTATTCCGATACATCTATCTGACAGACAAGTCCCATGGCTATAATAAGCGCCAGAAATTTTTTAATCTCTAGACCTGTGGTGTCTATCCATTTATGAAAGCGTGATTTCTCCTTAAGTGGCATGCCACTGTTTAGAAACTGATTTGCATATTTATTTGTTTCCTGTGAAATATTTTCATAGTCATTGTCATCTACAAATAGTTCAAAAAATTCCAGTGGAGAGTCAGTGTTTGAGATTTCATTTTGTAAACCAGGTACCTGTTCAAAGTTTAAAGGAAAAGGAACTCGATCACCATCACTCCATAATTCATCATTCAGAACATCATAATTTGATTCATCTACACATTTAGAATCTTCTAAATCCTCTAAATTAAACCCTTCAAAATTTTCTTCCCCCTCACTTTCACTGTCTGCAAATAATTCTTCAATAATATTCACACGTTCGGCCATCGCCAGTCTTGTTTACATTTATCATGGTAATATTGATCATGAATTATATCTATATTTCACAGGAAACAAATAAATAATCCCCTCCGAATACTTTCTATGTATAAAGAACACACTAAAAAATGTTTTAGATTGGACACTTTAATTCATTAAAATTGAAATTAAGATATATTCTATGTACAGTCCAAACGATTAAAAACAGCTGATTGCTTCGTCACATCTAACTTCCGGTGCCGATAAAACATACGCCTAGCCTTTTAAAACTAAAACTAGCCTTTAAAAGACGAAAGGAAATATATAATGTGTATTTTAAGATACTGTAAATACCTTTACTCGTAAAATCCTTGAAACTACTTGCGTAAATTCACGTTTAAAGACAATAAAGAAGCGATCAAAAAATCATGTGCAGTCAACGCCATCTTGACTTACTTATACGCTTATATCATTTACAAATTTTGCCTCCAAAAAAAAATGAACGTCACAGGTTAATGAAATCTAATGTTGAATTATAAAAAAAAAATAAGTTTATAAATAAAAGAAAAGGTCCATATAGAAGGATATTAATAACAATTATTTTTAATTGAACTTTTTAAAGTTACCGATTGGAAAATATTTAAAGAATTGGAATTCCCCTTTTATAATTATAGGAGTTTCCCCCATACATCAATCAGGAAACCGCATATTGTGGGAAAATCACTTTTCTCTTCTTGAAAAACATAATAGAAAAGTGAATTTTGCTAAATTCAGCATTTTTACAATAAGATAAATATGTAATAATGTAATAAAATAAATTTGTTTTGTTGCTGTAAAAATGAAGCAGCGGTACATTATACGTTGTACTTTCGCTTTCACGTGTTTACGTTAATGGCGACGCAAAATAAAAGCTCCGAAAAGAATCATACAATAAAATCACTAAGCATACTTAAAAACACATAGATACGGATGATTTAATTAAAATAATTGTAAATCTTGTAACTTTACGATATTCTATGAGTTTTTTAGAAAGGGTCAACCCCTCTCTGGAATTTATCACGATTCTGAGTTTTAAGACTTGGATTTTTTCCTTGAACGCATATATATGTGCGCTCCGCAGGACAGGACTGACGTCATAGTACGCACAAATAAGTGCGTGCAGCAGAGCAAGGGTTAACAAGTATGAGGCTCAGTTCAGTACATTCTTTTATGCAAGTCTGCAAATTTAGGAACTTGTAATTTTCCTGCACTACTTTCTTCTCCTACCGATTCTGAAAATAATTAGTGGGATGTACCCAATTAAGGTCTTCCGTTTCCAATGGAAAGGACTGATACAACTGGATGGTTGTTCAAACTTAGCTAGTGGACTTTGGTTTTAGTGATGATAAAAATGAAAGTCTTGTCCAGTACAGGGCGACATATGCTATTGCTTGCAATAGCAGACTTTCTAGTTATTATTATTTTTCTTACCGATTTTGTGCACGCGATTTCTCGTAAACTACTGGGCCGATTCTCATGAAACTTTCACATCTGATAGGTACTGATCTGAACCTTATTGGAAATTTTTTTCGTTGACGCCGTCACGTCCGGTCGTGAGATATGGACAATTTCCTGATTTTAAAATGCAATTTTGTCTTGATTTAGTAGCAAAAACTGCTTAAGATATGAACTGAAGATTAATTGGAGATGATAGTTCATGATTTATAGCGTTGCAGAATCGCCTTTTCGTGCGTCGTCAGTACTTCCGGTCGATACCGGAAACGAATTTAAGAAACGCAATTTTTCAACTTTTCTTATTTAATATTTTTGTTTTAGAATTGAATAGAGACCCTTTTGCAGAAGCCAAATATGTAATTTGTTTGAAAATCGAAAAAGCCAATCTCGAGATATATGCATTTGAAAACGCGAAGCGGCGATCCCAATGGCTAAATGGTTAGCGCGTTGGATTTTCACGCGGGCGACCCGGGTTCGATCCCCCGTGTGACCAAAACATTTTATCATTTTTTCTGCTCGATTTTTCGATATTTTTAAATTTTAGACCATTTGGAACAATATATTATAAACTTTTAAGCATATCTTGCGTAATAAGGGGTCACAAGGGGACAGAATGTCACATCTTTGACGCTTTATATCTCAAAAAGGGGGAATATTTTGGTAAGCAGTATTGAACAAAAGATGGTCAGAATAATGTTCTAAACAATATGCATACTTTGAATTTTTGTAAAACGGCCCCATGAAGGACTTGTAGGAGTGGCCCCTAAATATTTTCATTGAGCATATCTCCACAACGAAAAGAAATCTCTGAATAAGTGTTGAACAAAAAATCTTTAAAATCACAAGACATTTCATTTGATATCAAGAAAATGGGGCTGACCCCTCAAATTAGGGGCTCAGAGGGGCCAAAAGTCTTTCATCTTTAACTCTTAAATGATCAATATTTTGTGATACATTTTAGAAGCAAAAGTATTCATCTTAACGATTTGCATCAATATATGCTACTAATTTGATCATATGTTACGTAATTAGGGGTCACAAGGGGCCAAAATGTCACATCTTTGACGCTTTATATCTCGAAAAGGGGTTTATTTTGATAAGCAATATTGAACAAAAGATTGTCAGAATAATGTTCTAAACAATATGCATACTTTGAATTTTTGTAAAACGGCCCCATTAAGGACTTGTAGGAGTGGCCCCTAAATATATCCATTTAACATATCTCCACAATCTCTGAATAATTGTTGAACAAAAAATCTTCAAAATCACAAGACCTTTCATATAAAATCAAGAAAAAGGGGCTGACCCCTCAAATTAGGATCTCAGAGGGGCCAATATTCTTTTATCTATAACTCTCTAATGATCAATATTTTGTCATACATTATTGAAGCAAAAGTATTCATCTTAACGATTTGCAACAATATATGATAATATTTTTATCATATGTTACGTAATTAGGGGTCGCAAGGGGCCAAAATGCTATATATTTTTTTATGTTTTATGTCTCGAAAAGGGGGAGTATTTTCATAAGACTCATCAAACAAAAGATTTTCAGAATATCGTGATAAAAATGAGAAACTTAAATGAGGGAAAACTCAATGTCATTCTCTTTAAACGAATATCTCAGTCAAAATCACATCTCATCTTATCGAGAAATTCAACGGAAGACCTACTCGTTGCTCGCAACGAGATCTCATCTAGTTATTATTATGTCGCCCCGAACGAAGTCGGGGACGACATATTGATATTGTACGCATGTTTTTTTTATCCAGGCTGTTTCTCGGAGATGGCTGGGACAATCTTCCTGAAACTTTCCTCAAAGGACGATCACTGGTTGTAGTTGTGCAGTGAGGTCGTTCAGTTCCAATATGTCTACCGTTGCCATGGAAACCTGTAAAAAGCGACAAATTTTGTCCGCGAGTGTTCTCTCTGGTCCCTTAAACGTTCGTCATGAAACTTGTCTTATTTTAATGATTAGTATCTGTAGTTTTGCAACTCGCATTTAAAATTTTCAAATAATCGATTATTGCCATGGAAACCAGGTGAAAGTTAAAATTCTTTAATTTCGATTTTCTCAATAACTACGCAGGCAATCGTTTTGAAACTTTCAGTGTTTATTCCTTGCAATGTGTCAAAGTGATTTCTACTTTTAAAAAAATTGTAATGAGTCGCTCACAGTTGCCATAGAAACGAAACAGAAAAAAAGATTCAGATGTACACATGTTTCTCCAAGGTCTAGGTCAAAGGGTCAAAGTTCGTCGTATCCAATAAAAGTTCTTCTCACAAGGATTACATATTTGAAATATAAAAGCCCTAGCACTTACCGTTCAAACGTTATGGCTATGTACTATGTTCAAGACGACCCCCCCCCCTTTTTGAAGCACACAGCCAGGTAGAATACACAGATATAACATATACAACTTACAAGTAGCGTTTTAAAATCTTCATTCATAAAACTCAGTTTCCGTCATGTGATATTTAGTCATCATTCATTCTCCTTCTGTTTTGTCTCTTGAATTTATAAATATTTTATTTTATCTATATAAAAAAAATAACGAATTTCAGCTGCATTTATTATCATTTCGCGTTTTCTTGTATATTTATTAATTGTATATTATTCATTTCATTAGATAGTGTAAGTATAAATTAAAAAATGGGTACGTCATTTCCATAGTTTTTATTAGGTCACCTGAGTAAACTCAGGTGACCTATTGCTATCTGTTTTTGTCCGTCGTCGTCCGTCGTCCGTCGTGCGTCGTGCGTCGTGCGTTAACATTTGAACATTTTCAGCTTCTTCTCTGCAACCACTGAACCAATTTCAACCAAATTTGGCACAAAGCATCTATGGGAAAAGGGGAACAAAAATTGTGAATTTCATGATCCCAGCCCCCCTGGGGCCTGAGGGGTGGGGCCAAAACCACTAAAATTAATGCAATCTTTAAAAATCTTCTTCTCTACTTCTGTACATCAAGCAGTCAAACTGTTTGCATGATTGTAATCAGCAATGAGTCCTCTACCAAAATTGTAAAATTCATGGCCCTGGGGTCAGGGGTTTTAGTGCTAGGGCGGGGCTAAATAAGTAGGTAGTGAAAATGCATTATTTCTTTGAAAATCTTCTTCTCTGCTCCTGGGTATTAAATAAACCAACTAAGTACATAGTTATGATGAGCAAGAGTGCCTCTACCAAAATTGTGAATTTTATGGCCCCAGGGTCAAGGGGTTCTGGTGTTAGGGCGGGGCTCTATTGATTATACAGTGAAAATACATGAATTCTTTGAAAATCTTCTCCTCTGCTCCTGGGTATTAAATAAACTAACTAAGTACATAGTTATGATGAGCAAGAGTGCCTCTACCAAAATTGTGAATTTTATGGCCCCGGGGTCAGGGGTTCTTGTTTTAGGGTGGGGCTCTAATGATTATATAGTGAAATGCATGAATTCTTTGAACATCCTGGTTAATATGCTAATGATCTAATTACATATTTAAGGCCAGGATTTATTTTATTTTCAGTTTTACAAACCCTCCGCTCAAGGTTT